TTTTGGCCAGAGCACACTTTGTATGATTGGAATCTTTTAAAATTTGTTAAGATTTGCTTTCTGGCCCCAACTATGGTCTATCTTATAAATATACTATGTGCACTTAGAAAGATTGTGCACTCTGCTGCAGTTAGGTGGGTTGTCCTATAAGTACACCAAGTTGATTGACAGCACTGTCCAAGTCTACTATTCCTTAATCACTTTCCACCTACTTGTTCTATCAATTACTTAGGAATGTTAGAACTTCTCATATTATTGAGGACTTATTCTTTCAGTTTTATCAATTTTTGCTTGAGATTATTAGGTACATAAAGATTTTGGATTATGATGTTCTCTTGATGAACTGACCATTCATCATTCTGAAATGATCCTCTTTATCTCTGAAGATAGTTTTTAGAACCTTCTTTGCTTACTAATAAAATAGTGATGCCATTTTTCTATTCAATAGTGTTAATATGGCATACCTTTTTCCATTTGTTTACTTGTAATCTATTAGTGTATTTATATTTAAAATGGGACTCTTGTAGGCAACATATAGTTGAATGCTGTTTTTTCATCCAATTAGATCAGTGGTTCTTAACTTTCCTAATACCCTGATGTATTTTCATTGTTACAAAGGGGTCACGACCCCCAGGTTGAGAACTGCTGAATTAGATGGACTCTGCCTTTTAACCAAGGCCTTTATCTCCTTTGTCAGCATATTAGTTATACATTTTTAAATCAGTTGTTTTATGTTTTAAATATAGGGTATCCATAAAGTTTATGTGCAGCTTTTAAACTTAAATACTTTTAAGTTATAGCAGTCTACTTTTCAAATACCATTTCAAGCATAAGAAATTTACTACACTGAACTCTATTTTGGCCCAGCTAGACTTTATTATGTTGTTGCCAAAACATTTACTTCTATGTATAAGCTCCACAGTTCAATATGCTGCTGGGGGGCAGCATGGACGAGACAGACATAAACAACTGCCTAGCCAGGTGTGAAGGCCTGGGCAGATGGCATCCCAGGGGCTCCTCAGGCAGCCATCCTGGAACCTGGCAATGTTGGTACCAGTTATAAGTAGATGCAATCCACTTCTACTTATCAATCAAACTCAGACATTTTCCTTTTTGTTACATTTGGAGGAGACTGAGGTAGGCAGCAATTTAATGCTGATCTTTGAGTCAGGAAATATAGTGGAAAAATGCCCTAAACTTTGAATTAAAAAAGTGCTGGGGGCGGCGCCTGTGGCTCAAGGAGAGGGTGCCGGCCCCATATGCCAGAGGTGGTGGGTTCAAACCCAGCCCTAGCCAAGAAAGTGCTGGTTTCAAATAAGAGCTCTGACAAGTTGCTTAGTGACCTTGGACAAGTCAATGAAACCTCGTTGAATATCAGTTTTTTCATCTGCAACTTGGGATAGAAGTATCTAGTGCTATTGTAAGGATTAAACGGTGTATACCAGTGATTCTCAAATGGAGGCAATTTCCCCAAGAGACATTGTCAGATGTCTGGACACATTTTGGCTGTCTCAAGTGGGAGGGAGGGTGCTGCTGGATCTAGGTGGTAGAGGGCAAGAATGCTGCCAGTGCTGAGATTGTGAAACCCTGGTATGTACCCTAAGGCTTCACCTCTTGCTCAGTACCCAGGAGGGTGTTAAGGTTAACTGCCTTGGATTAGACTGTTAAGAGCAGGACTTACTGTTGGGCCTCTTATCAGGCCCAAATTCCTCCATAATTTGCTTCAGGGACCTAAACAATCAGCTCCAAGGAGGGCTGTGAACAGGTAGATAGTCATCTGTCAGGGAACAGTGGACTAGAAGGGCTGAGTCGGACAGAGCTTCTGAAGCCCATCTGGCTCTGATGTTTCTTCCTAGGTGTTGCCATGTACTAGGATATGACTGGGACCAAGGCTCCTTTACACCTGTAGTCACTTGCACACATGTCCTATCCAACCTTTCACAGCTCCAGGATGGACAGTCAACCTGTCTGCAGCTCTGGAGGGAGGATGGGCTGTTGGGATGTACTCTTCTCTCCAGAACCCGTCACCCCCTGGGCTTCTCTCTTGACAGTAGCATCTTGTACCTTGACCCCAAGTGGGATATGAATAATACTAGAACCCACTAGGTTTGGGCTTAAGAGACCCTTGCACCTAGGCTGGGTATGGCTAGCCCATGAGGAAAAGAACTCTTATATTTTTCTCATGTTCCATGGTGATTAGTCTCAGGTCTTTTTTGAGGCCACCAGGTTGAGGAGCACATAATATCTATCAGGCAAGAGCCTTACCAGAGAGAACTGCTGACAGCAAGTGTACATGGAGATTAGCAGGGTAGGCAGTGAAGCCAGGGAAATATGTTACGTCTGTCTGTGGTGAAGGGAGTGGTCAGGAGGGCACTGAAAGGTCCCAGAGAGGGGATGAACAGGAGAGCTGAATTTAGGCAGCATTCTTGAATTCCACTGGCCAGAGGTCAGCAGGGTATGGAAAAAAGAGGTAACATCCAGATGTCTAGAGGAGACCAAGGAAGAGAGAAGAATAGAAATGACCAGGAGCTCAGCTGGACAAGCTTCTTACATTTCTCTTTATAGTTTTCATGACATTTAGGAAACTTGGGGTCATTATTTCTGAAGTACTTGTTTGTCTCCCCTCTTCATGGACTCTAAGGACATATATATATTTTGTCCCAAAACTCAGTGACGTTCTGTCTTGTTTTTCTCAGACTTTTTTTCTTCTGCATTAATTCATTTTGGACAGTTTCTACTGCTGTGTATTAGTTTACTGGTCTTTTGTCAGCAATATTTAATACTCTCTACTGAATTTTTAATCTCAGGCCTAGTGTCTTTCACCTCTAGAAATGTGATTGATGTCTTTTTCCTTTTCCTTATCTTCCAGGTGTCTCCTAACCAGGCTCATACTTTCCTCTACCTTCTTGAACATACAGAATATAGTAATAATAATTGTTCTAAAGCCCTTGCCTACTAATTTTGTTATCTATACCATGTTTGATATGATTCTATGTTCTCAAAAAGAAAAAAAACAACAAAAACAAACAAACAAACAAAAAAACCCTACTTGTTAAGGAAAGGAATCAAATTCATTAACTTAATAAATAATATGAAGTACCATTCTGAGCCAATTCTGGACTTCCTAATCCCACTGTCCTGTTTTGACGTATTAAGTCTATGGTTGTTTTAAAGTCTGCTAATGCAAGCTTCTGCCCCACTGTTGCTGTTTTATTTATTTTAAATCATTATTACAATATTCATTGTAAATATTTTTCCATATAAACTTTACGTGACAACACTGTCTCAATTTACACAATCTACACTGGAATTTTAACTGGTATTACACTAAGCATGTAGGATATCTTATCATTTTTAACATACTTGGTCTTTGCAGGTAAAAAGAATAAAAGTCCTTTATTTCTGACATTTAACTATAACAACAATCTTTATCAATCTATTTATTCATCCATTTTTATCCATTTCTTTATGTCTTACTATATTTCTTTAAATGCCCTCAATTAATATAGAGTATCCATGAATTAATATTTTTACTCCTTTCCAATATTCATACTTCATTTTCTCATTGCTTGTTAGAAAGCTTATTACTGACTGGCATGTCCGGTATTGTAGCACAGGGAGCAACCAATTCTCTCCTGTTTTATTTCCCCTTTTCAAATAAACATCCCTTATTGCATTTTTCCCTTTTTTACGGTTTTATCACAGGAAAATTTTAAATAAAAAAAAATTTATTATATTATCAAATGATTTTATATGTTGACATACAATTTTAAATATTTCTTAATTAAATGATTAATGAATAATAATTTGTCTTATATTAGAGTGGCTCTGAATTCCTGATATTAACCTTATTTGATCTCTGGTGAGTAAGTACATTTTTTAATGTTTGGCTATGGTCTGTTGGTTAAAGCTCCATTTAAAATCTATTCATTTGTGTGTGTATGTGTGCATATGTGCATTTTTTCCTATGTTAATGGGATAAGTCTATAATAAACTTTATTTTAAGCTAATACCCTCTTCTCATAAGTGAGCTTTCAAACACTTACTGCCTAGTCCATTATATTTTGAGAACCATAAATATAAAGAAGCAAAATAACTGAGGACAAAGATATACAGATTTCTGCTTTTTTCATCAAGTCTATACCATCAAGCATAACTAAATAAAACATGCTTCAGAGAAAGAAGTCAGATTAAATTACTGTCACGACACACTTAAAAAAACAGCCAGTCTGAGTCATGTAATTTAACAAAGGAAATAGAAAGATGATATACTGACTATGTTGTCATAACTCACATTAACAAAAAGTATCATATTTAATAATATAAAAAGATAACTAATTATAGCTACATATAAAGTTTGGCCAACTTTCACTAAAAGATTATTTTTAATTCATTTATTTCCTTATTCACTATTATATACCAAGCACCAGGCTAGGTGTAGGAGGACAATGGGAAAGAAGACATGTTTTTCTCTCAGTAAACTTACAAACTACGGTAGGGACAGACAAACATTTCCTGTAAAGGTCCAAATAATAATATAGACTTTGGAGGCTGTTCAGCCTATTTTGCTAACTACTCAACTCTGTCACTGTAGGGCAAAGAGAGTTACTGACAATATATAACAAATTATTTAGAAAATAAATAGTGGGACAGACTTTGCCCAAGGACCACAGTTTTCCAAGCCATTTGCTAGTGGAAAATAACAAACTAGCAATTTGAATCCTACATAGAAAATAGAGCAATAGTAGTAAAGGGTGCTATGGCAACATGACCTAAGAGAATCAACAAGGCTTTCTGGGAGGAGCAATCCAACTAAAGACTTCATTTCCTCAAATTCAGCCAATAAAAATAGCTTTTTGGTAAGGTGCTGCCATGAAAAAACTCAAAATCTCATTCCAAAAATGTAGAACATATTTGATCATAAAAATATTGTTTTATTATACAGAATTCTCTCCTACGTGTTTACCACAATTATACCATAAGCACACTTGGAAGCTTACCTTGAGTGACTGTTTTGAGAACAATTAAGGTTGATAAAAATCTCAATGGCAAATTAGAGCTCTTAAAGAAAGCAGTTGTCTTTGGTTTATTCTCCCCGGAGTGCTCTAAAGAATTATCCTGATTTCCTTTAGTTATTACTCCTTTAAATATGTCTTCACCCAATCTCCTCAATGTTGAAGTCATAGTTGAATGCTGTTAAAAATATATATAATCTTTTTATATTTATTCATGTTCAGAAAACATTTATTTTAAATACTATGATCAAATATATGAACTAAAAGTGAATTTTGCTAATTTACAAAAAAGTTGAAAATATGCAAGGTTGGAAAGTGACAATTTTATAATTAACTTTTAAGAAATTACTTATCTGTGACTTTACATTTTTCTAAAACATGTAGGAATATAAGTTCATGCTATACTTCTGTCACAGAGAAATATGATCAGAATAGATATGAACTACCTATACTCGCAGGTCTTCATTTCTCCACTATCGCTGACAATGGGCTTATCAGGTACACCTTCACTGTGTCTGCTTATGGAATGACCATCTAGATGTCTCACTACCTTCAGCCTCACTCTGACCATAAATGTCACATGGGGACTAAAAACTGTTAACAATTTTAGAAGAATACAGGGCTAGAATCATGGATAATTCCCAGGAGAGTAAACTAAAATAAGAAAATGGGCAAAATAGGAATAATCACACAGAAGTACCCTTAAAATAACATGTAACATAATGACATTTCATATATCCATTAAGAATCAAAAGAAAGGAAACCATTTCAAAGTGTTACAAATGAGTATGCTTAAACCATTCTTAGAAATAACTTAAAATTTCCTTTATTATGACCAAATTCTCTAACCTCTTATCACTGAGTTTAGCATGGGAATTTGTGACCAACTAGTTTCTAACTCAATATTGATACTACAATTTGGATAACAAGTGTCAGCTTATAAATTTCAGAATCTAAAATTAGAAACAAACATGTTGAGATTTTGTGGGTTGATATCAAAGGCCAAATGATTGGGTGGTGAGAAACACTAGTGCTTAAATCTAGTTTAAATACATTGGTGGTGGGGTGTGGTAGCTCATGCATGTAATCCTAGCACTTTAAGCAGTGAAGGTGGGAGGACTGTTTGAAGCCAAGAATTCAAGACTAGGCTGGGAAATACAGTGAGACACTCCCAACTCTACAAAAAAAAAAAAAAGAAAAAAAAAACTAAAACTAAAAAAATTAGCCAGCTGTGGTGGCACATGCCTATAAGCCCAGCTATGAGGATGAGGCAGGAGGATCCCTTGAACTCAAGATTGTCAGGCTGCAGTGAGCTAGGATTTTGCTACAATACTCTAGCCTAGGTGACAAGAGTGAGACACTGCCTCTTAGAAAACAAAACATATAGAAAATAGAATTTTCAAAATAATAGTCATGTGTTTTAAAACTTTTGTGTAAAAATGATAAAAGAAAAAATACTGCAAATTTCTATTTATAGCATGTTAAAATGATAGGATTAGGCAATTTTACTTTTTTTTGCTTTTTTATTATCTCAAATGTTTTATACTACTTTTATAATGAAAAAATAATCTTAAAAAAAAAAAACCCAAATCTAGTAGAAGAAAAGAAATAACCAGAATTAGGGCAGAATTAAATGAAATTGAAAACAAAAGAATCATTCAGAAGATCAACGAAACAAAAACTTGGTTTTTTGAAAAAATTAACAAAATTGATAAACCTTTGGCCAACCTAACCAGAAATAGAAAAGTAAAATCTCTAATATCATCTATTAGAAATGATAAAGGAGAAATAACAGACACTTCAGAAATTCAAAAATTCCTCAATGATTACTACAAAAATCTCTATTCCCAGGAATATGAAAATCTGAAGGAAATAGACCAATACCTGGAAGCATGCCACCTTCCTAGACTTGACCAGAAAGAATTAGAAATCTTAAATAGACCTATATCAACCACTGAAATAGCATCATCAATATGAAATCTCCCTAAAAA